TGCCAGCCCCTCTACCAGAAGTTTTATAGTTTGAGGCTTTACATTGAAATCTTTGATCCATTTTGAGTTGATTCTAGTTAATTGTGAGAGATAGGGACTATTTTCATTTTTCTTCCAGTGGATATCCAGTTATGCCAGCACCATTTGCTGGAAAGACTTTCTTTGCTCCACTGCTTTGTAATCCACTCTTTGACAAAGATCAGTTGTCTGTATAATTTGGAATTTATTTCTGGATCCTCTAGTCTGTTCCATTGGTCTATGTGTCTATTTTTATGCCAGTACCATGCAGTTTTGAATACCACAGCTTTGTAGTATTTTTTTTTTTTTTTTTTTAACAATTACTTGTTTATTTAATTCCATTTCTTCTTATTTTTTAATTTGACCAGAGAGAAAGGGAAAGGGAGAAAATGAGCTGCTAGGTCTGGGACTCCAATCGTGGTCAGCCATGTGAGAATCTAGTGCCTTTAACCACCACACCACCTGCCAGCCCCTCTACCAGAAGTTTTATAGTTTGAGGCTTTACATTGAAATCTTTGATCCATTTTGAGTTGATTCTAGTTAATTGTGAGAGATAGGGACTATTTTCATTTTTCTTCCAGTGGATATCCAGTTATGCCAGCACCATTTGCTGGAAAGACTTTCTTTGCTCCACTGCTTTGTAATCCACTCTTTGACAAAGATCAGTTGTCTGTATAATTTGGAATTTATTTCTGGATCCTCTAGTCTGTTCCATTGGTCTATGTGTCTATTTTTATGCCAGTACCATGCAGTTTTGATTATCATCACTTTATAATATATTTTGAAGTCAGGTAGTGAGATACCTCCTTTACTTTTTCTTACACTGTATTGCTGTGGTGATATGGGGCCTTGATGTCAGACACATTTTATGATTTTTTTTCTATTTCTGTGAAGGATATCACCAGCAATTCGATCAGAATCAAACTGAATATCTAAATTAATTTGGGTAGACCTTTTTGATTAAACTGATTTTCCCAATCCAAGAACACATAATGTCTTTCCATTTTTTGGTATCATACTTGATTTTTCATAGTTTTCCATGTAGAAGGTTTTCGTTTTTTTGGTTAGATTTATTCACTTCGTGGCTATTGACAATGGGCTATTACTTTCTTCTATTCTGTCTGTTCATTGTTGGTTTATAAACATGCTATTGATTTTTTTTTTTTTTTTGAGATTTTTTTCTATAGGGCATGTGCACTCCCTGACAAAGAAAGACAGAAAGCACAAAATCGCCCCCTGAAGGGATAGCTGCCCCACAGTTCCTTCTCGCCCACTCTTCTCTTAGGGCCCTGGGTACACAAGTACATGTGCCCAGCATGAGTTTCAAGCCACTGGGTTGGGGACTTGAACCGTGGTCAGACACTTGAATCCAGTGTCCCAACCACCACACCACCTGCTGGCCCATGCTATAGATTTTTGATGTTGACTTTGTATCCTTCTACTTTACTGAATTCATCAACCATGTCTAGTTTTTTCGTTTTTCATTTGGATTTTCTATGTATCTAATCATATCATCTGCAAATAGGGACAGTTTAGCTTCTTTTCCAATCTAAATGTCTTTTATTTTGCTCTTTTGTCTGACTGCATGGGCTAGAACTGGGCCTCTCTACAGCTCAGATTCCTGAGCTGTCAATGGAAATTCTGGCAACTGCCGTGCTAACCCCATAGGGCTGTTGATAAAATGACTGGTCACTAACTAAGTATTTGCAGTGAGCCTACTGTGTGCCGTTGTGGGTACTAGAGATATGGCGGTGAGCTACACAACACTGTTGATGAGATTCCTCTATGTGGTTGTGTAGGAATGGCCTGGCTACTGCCATTGCTGTGTACTATCCTAGCCTGTGAATACCATACTTGATTTACCCAGTCTGTGCGACATTTGGGTAGTTTTCAGGCTTTTGGCTATTATAGGGAAGAGGCTATGTACATTCTGGCATGTCTTCTGGTGAACTTACTCATTTGTTGGGCCAATTTCTTTGTAGCCTTCCTAATTATGCCCAAGTCAGGTTGGCACTAGCACATTCTAACATCCCTGCAGCCCTTGCCAATGAGTTCTTAAAACAGGCCCAGCCGTAGGCTCAGAGCCTTCAGCATTCCGCTGTATTTAGTTCAATGCATGAACATTGCTTTGTCTGCATTACCTGTAAAGGCTCTATATGGCAAGAGGTTACTGGTGCTCCATTGATCTATATATTATAAACACGCTTGTTACTGGGGCCAGCAGGTGGCGTGGTGGTTGAGGTGCTGGACATTCCCACAGGGCCGACCATGGTTCGAGTCCCAAACCTAGTGGCTTGCTTTCTCACGTTCCCTCTCTTGTCTGGTCAAATTAAAATAAGTGAATACAATTAAATAAATAATTCTAATAAAAATACTTGTTAATTATAGTAATTAATGAAAGTTTCTTTCCAAAATAAATTTTTCAAGTTTTCTCCTCATTTCTTTTATTGGATTACTAAAAGAAAAACTTCAGACAATTTAATTTAGTGGAGTATGATTGAGCAAATGATTTGAATGGGAAGGGATATTTACATGTGGGAAAAGGGAAAATTACATACAAAAACCAAGTGAGAGGATGAGGTAGAGAAATGTAACAATTGGCCTGGTTAGATACTGCTGCTCGCCTGCATCAGCAGTTTCAAGGTGGCCCTGTGTGACCAACTGAGGAACAGCTGCTGTGACCGGCCGTGACTGAGCTGTCACTAAGGAGGCCGACCTGCACGAGATGGTGTGGCTTGTTTACGGAAACGAAAGCAGGAGTACGGAGGCTTTCTCAGGCCAATATACTGTAACAGGATGAATATAGACTTAATGCTAAGCAAGATAAGTCAGGCTAAGTTTTTCCAAGTTTAAAAAGTAAAGTACAAGCTGAGTACCCCAATCTGAATTGCAAAATGCCCCCGAATCCACAACTTTGAGTGCTGATACAAGTGGAAAATTCCACAACTGACCCGTGTTATCAGTCGAAACCCTGCAATGTGAAAATACTGTATAAAATTATCTTCGGGCTGTATGTATGAGGCGTAGATGAAACATAAAAGCTTCATGTTTAGACTTGGGTCCCAACTCACAACTGTCCCATGGAGTATCTGCAGATATCCCCAAATTCCCCCAAATTGACTCTGAAACACTTCTGGTCCCAACATTTGGATAAAGTTCTCACTGTATTGGGACCAGCATGTGGCATGATGGTGAAGGTGCTGGGTATTCCCACATGGCCAATCATAGTTCGAGTCCTGGACTTGGTGGCTTACTTTCTCACTTCTCTCTCTCTCTGTGTGTCTCTCTCTGGCCAAAATAAAATAATGAAAAACAAAAATAATTAAAAAAAATTCTCACTGTACTAGGTAGTGGTTGTAGGTGGGCACACAGGCGGTAAAATGTGAGAGATTTGGAATGGCTAATTTACAGATGTTATCCTGAAAGAGCCACACTTTGAATCAGGCGTCCTTGTCGTCAGGGGAGACGGACTTAGTTCTCCATCTGGGCACACTGCAAACCATCCCAAAGCAGTGGGCCTCCTCCTTTCAGGTATACAGCAGGAGTACCAGCTTACAACAGGCTGGAGTCCCAGGAGGACTAGAGCTGGCAAGGGGAGAAGAGTATCTTTATAAAATGCCACACTTTCCTATTTCCGTGGGCCGGTGGGGTCTGCACTTTGAGGACCATGGCAGAAAGCATGTAGGCGGGATGACAGGTGCCATGGTCTCCAGGGCTCACGGGAACATCCGGTCACCTGGCTGTGTTAGGAACCAGGAGCGCCTCTAGGAATCAAACCCTCCACTCCTCTCCCCCTTGACTCCGTGTCCCTGAGGCTGCTTTCCTCGACACTGCCACACCTGCCTCTAGGACCACCTCCTCCCAGCTCGGACGCTCACACCCGTCTTCTAGCGAGTTTTCATTCTGCCCGGACTTTAACCCACTGACCCTTTATGAGCACTTAACAATGACTTAAGAGAAGAAATGGTTTTCACTGGGAGTAATTTTAAAACAGGAAAAAAAATTCTTACCACTCAAGTTTTGGGAAACATTTTATAATTTATATATAAAATCTCAGTAAGAAATCATGTAAAATGACAGATATATCCATCATACACGAAGAGTAAAAAAAAAAACAAAAAAAAACAAAACTAAAACAAAAAGCGGACACACACACACTGAATGTAAATTTTAATTACAAAACAAAAGTATGAACAAAACTTTAAAAATAATCTCGATTATTTGGCAACTCAACACATCATTGCAGGAGACAAATTTGATCGTAAGAAAAGTTTAATCTTATGAAAAACTTAAGTTGGACAGTTTGTTCACATGGAGTTTAAACATGTTTAAAAAAGAAATCTGGCATAAAGCCAGTTTCTATCCTGAAATAATTATGTATAAAACAACATAAAATCCTGAAGCTGGACAGGAGTGACCTAATTAATCTTCATTGCATTTTTCTTCACTGAAAAAGACAATAGGGAAAAAATATTGGTAGAAGCTTCGGTTGGAAGAGCAGAGGGAAACAAGCACCAACAGAGGGGTCTCTGCTGCGGGGACCAGACCCGACTTCACCTGAGCCAGGCCCTCTCATGTCACGAGGGCTGGCAGTAAAGTCACAGATGCAAGTGGAGTCAGGATCATCTAAAAACGAGTTACAGTCTTTAAAAAGACCCACGTTGTGAACAGAAAATTAATGGCGAGCCTTTCTTCAGCTACACTACTTTGCCTGGGTACATGCGAGGGTCTCTGCATTTCCTGCCGTATCACACACACAGTTACAAGGCAGGCGGAGGCCTAAAAAATGTTCTACTTACGACTGCATAGCATTTAAAACCCCTTTTTATTAAAAAAAAAATAATAAAATAAAATAAACAGATATATAGTAAAGTCCAAAAATAAGTTTTCTCTGTAAAATAAATAAAGTGTTCATTGATTAGCATCATACATAGAGTAAAATACAACCTATTTTTACATGTTTATATACTGTACACAGATTACCAGTAGCAGCCCAGAATCTCATGGGCTAGAAGGGTTTGCATTAGTGACATGTCACATTGGGAAATCCCAATTTTGAATGTTAAAATATACAACTAGTTTGCTTTGAGTTCAGATACAAAGTAAACTTATTTTCCTTTATCTGAGATAAATGTACATAATATCGTCTATGAACAACAGTTTATAAAGCTGTTTAAAACATAACAAGAAAAAGCTTGCACCTAGGAACTTAGAGCACATGCATGTCCTTTTCTTGGGTAAAAGATGCCCGTGGCCACCCAGGCTCCTCCCTTTTCTCCCCACTGTGCCCCTGACCAGCCCAGGGGTCAGGATTGTCGCTTGGTCTTTTTTGCAGGGGCTTCTTCCATTCTCTGCTGGCCTCTGGTTCGGGCCCCAGGAGGGCTGACTTCTCTCTTGCGCTTAGCGGAAGGGGAGAGCTGTGTCTTTGATCTGTGTTAAACGAAAGCCCAGGCAACAGTGAGAGTTAAAATTTTGGATTTGGGAGTTCCTCAAAAAATAGAGGAGTATTGACCTTGACATAAGAGAAAATGCCAGTGACATTTAAACGGACGAGGAGCTTGAGCTAACTGCTAACAACCCCCACACCAACACAGGGTGCGGGAGGGCCGGAGAGCCTGTGCTCTGCTCCCTCCCCAGGTAACTCTTCCGGGGCCTCCCTCTCCCACTTCCATCTGTGAGAGACAGCAGCAGCCCCTCCTCCACACACACTGAACACAGCGCGAAAACAGCAGGACTGTGGCTCTGCGCCTGCCAGGTGGAAACCGTGTCTCACAGCACCGTGCTACAGAAACCGCCTGGCACCCGAAGGACTCGAAGACACGTTTTATTTGACTTTTTTTTTTTTAATTGCCAGAGGGTGCATATGCTTGCCAGAGAGCCAGCCAGAAAGACAGAGAGAGAGAGAGGAAGGAAGCACCCCTCAGTAGGACCTGGTCAAGCCACAACCCCTTCCCCTCCATCTCTTCACCTGCTGGTACCCAGGGCACGTGCACATGTGCCGGGCATGATTTTCACGCTACCGGGAGCTGACTATGGCCCATGGGAGCTGACTCCTTTACCCACAGTGCCATGGGCCTGGCCTGAGAGCGTTTACATTTTTTTATTTTTCTTTTTAAATAACATTTTACTTTATTAGATTTTAATTTGCTATTGGACACATGTACTCACGAGAGACAGACAGAGAGAGAGAGACAGAGAGAGAGAGAGAGAGAGAGAGAAGGAAGCCACCAGGTCTGGGACTTGAACCATGGTCAGCCATATGGGAGAGCAGTATTTTAACCACCACACCATCTGCAGTCCCCCAGAACCTTTTTTTCTTTTTTTTGGAGAGGTTTTCGCTATAGGGCACGTGTGCTCGCCAGACAGACAGAGAGAGACATAGAGACAGAAAGTGAGAAAGCACCCCCCAGGGGGATGGCCACGCCGCATTCCCTTCTCCTCGGTTCTCCTCTTGGGATTTTGGGCACGCACACACACGCGCCAGCATGAGTTTTAAGCCACTGGGTCCGGGACCCGCAGAACCTCTTTAAAGGACACAGGAATGCATGTGAGTAACGGACAGGGACATGGGATGGTACACCATAGCAGAATGAACCAACGGAGTACTGGAAAGCACAAGAAATTATACGTTAAATAAAGTTAATTAAAAATGTAACTCGGGACCAGCAGTTAGTGTAATGGCTATGTCACTGGGCTCCCATGTAGTCAACTGCGGTTCGAGTCCTGGACCCGGTGGCTTAAACTCATGCCAGGTGCGTGTGCGTGCGTGCCCAGGATCCCAAGAGGAGAATGGAGGAGGAGGGATTGCGGTGTGGCCATTCCCCCTGGGGGGGGGATTTCTCGCTTTCTATCTCTCTGTCTCTGTCTGTCTGTCTGGCGAGCGCACGCGCCCTATAGCAAAAACATCTACAAAAAAAATGTAACTCTGAAATTACTATAACTATGCATATTCCAATCTAAACTGAGAGTCCAAAAAGATGTGTTGCAAATAATTGGGTAATTATTCTCTTTCTAAAGATGCTGTTGTTCTACGTAAAAATTGTAAAAAAAAAAAAAAAGTCAGGAAGTTAAAAAAAATACATCTGGCAATGTTAGGAAAGGCACAGGAATTTTAGGAGACCGTTCTAGGGACCAGCACATGGTGTAATGGTTACGTTGCTGGATTCCCACATGGCCGACTGTGGTCTGAGTCCTGGATCCAGAGGCTTGACACTCACGCCCAGCACGTGTGTGTGCTGCCCAAAGTCCTGAGAGGAGAATGGAGAAGGGACTGTGATGTGTCCGTCCCCCCGGGGGGTGATTTCTTGCTTTTTGTCTCTCTGGTGCATGCATATAGCAAAAATCTCTCCAAAGAAAAAAAAAATAAGAGGATTCTAACCAACGCCCCCATCACCAGCTTAGGTTGTTCTCCAGTCTACCATGAGAATTATCTTCTAGAAACTCCAATCAATCATGTTTCTATCCTGGACATTTATCCTGGACATTTCTCCATCCTTTCGGAATTTTGGACGTGCATGTATATGTGCCCAGTGTGTTTTCGAGCCAGTGGGCCAGGATTCGAAATGCAGTTAGCCATGTGGGAACTGGCTCCCTTAACCCTAGGCTACAGTGATGTACATTTTTATGTTTGTGTTGGGATTACCACACACCCCCATCTGGTATCTGAATAACTTCCCTATTTTTACTTTTTTCTTTTTAGAGGTTTTTACCTTAGGGTGCATGTGCTCGCCAGAGAGAGAGAGAGAGAGGGAGAGAGAGAGAAACTGAGAAATCACCCCCCTCCCCCCCCACCAAGGGGGATGGCCACACTGCAATCTTTTCTCCTCCACTGTCCTCCAGGGATCTTGGGCACACATGCCGGGCATGATTTTCAAGTCACTGGGTCTGTCATGTGCGAGTCCAATGACGTAACTGCTACTCCATCTGCTGCCCCGTAACTCCCTTATTTTTAAGCCACAGTTCAAAAGTCACTTTGGGAAGTGTTCCACATATTTCCACTCTGGGAATCCCATGGCACTCTGGAGCCTCACCACAACACTGACCAGTCATTTACGTGATCTGTTTTTTAAGAATTATTTTAATTTAATCTGTTCTTGTTGTTTTCAATTTGGCCAGAAAGAGACAGAGAAAAAGGGGGAAAGGGAAAGTGAGAAAGTAAGCCACCAGGTGCTGGACTTGAACCACGGTCAGCCATCTGGGAGTTCAGTGCCTTAATCACCATCCACTTGCTGGCCCCAATCTACTGACTTTTTATACTTAGGTTACAGCCAGTAATTTGAAACGATCTACTAGAAAATGCCAGAAACCGATCCTGTAGAAAGTCTGTCCCAGCTATAGTGACGGGATGTGAGCGCCAACGGCGTGACACTCCTCCTTTCAGTTCCGTATGAGGTGCATGTACTCGCCAGAGAGGAGGCGGGAGAGTGAGGGATCCTCCTCAGGGGATGCCACGCTACACAGGATGCTCCTCTGTTCCCTTGGGGTTTGAGGCAAGCACTCACATGTGGCTGGCATGATTTTCAAGCTGCTGGGTCCAAGACTCAACTGCATAGCTGGCTATGGCTCAGCCTCCAGGTCAACGCTGGCCTCAAGTATGGCCTTATCTGGGGGCTGCGACTGAAAAGGTTTCAGCCTCCAGGGCAGCAGCGGAGACAGACTGGCTGTGCTGCACCGGTGCCTCGCAGTGTCCGTGCAGTGAGCAAGCGCGATGTCCCATATGAAGGAACACACCAGGACACTAACCTGGCGGCCACGGGGAAAGGCTACTGACAGGATGGCCTCTGAGTGCTACACGCACAGGAGGGAGACGAGTTTGTGGCTTCAGGAAGAAACTTACGGCTCAGAGAGGGAAGGAAACGAACATGCCTATATATGCACAGCAGTGGGATACGCCCACCTCGCTGCCCCGTCCTGCCTGAAGTGCCACAGGCAGGAGAGCTGGGGAGGTCAGCGGTAGGTGGGGAAGGTACCCCGACGAGGGCTTTGAAGGGCAGGAAGGTCCTGGCTGCCTGGGGGCTGGTGCCAAGGCCATTCAACAGCAAAGCTAAGGCAAGGAAGGAGGACTCCGCCCGGCGGGAAGCAGGAAGATAATGCGGCGGCAGAGAACACTGTGAGCCGGTGCCGGCGGGGACGTGCCTGCAGGAAGGAGCTTTCCTTGTCCCCTCGCCACCTCTCCCAGGCCCCAGCTAAACCAGGAAGGTGGCGTGCTCTGCTGACCGAAGCAGGCATTTCGATCTGTGAGCACGCAGGAAGGAGCAGCGTTGCCTCTGGTGGAGGAGGGAACTGGCAGTGAAGGGCGGTCACAGGTGTCAGGATGAGCCGTGCGGCCACTCAGATGCTCTCTGAGCCTTTCCTACAGCGACAGCCAATGATCTCCAAAGACAGCTGGCAGGTGGGACGGAAACCTTTTTTTTTTTTTTTTTTTTTAGGGTTTTGCTATAGGCACATGCTCTCATGGGAGAGAGACAGAGAGAGGGAAAGTGATAAATCACCCCCAGGGGGAATGACCACGGCTCAGTCCCTTTGCTTTCATTTTCTTCTTAGGATTTTGGGCATACACACACATGTGTCTGGCATGATTTTCAAGCTGCTAGGTCCAGGACCTGAACCATGGTCAGTCGTGTGGGAATCCAGGGCCTTAATCACCACACCACCTGTTGGCACCATGACAAAGTGTTCTTAGTATGTATTTTTCTTACTGAAACCTCACCACTGTCTTGGTGATTTATATACGATTATTCCTGTTTTATTTTTTTTTTTTTGAGAGGTTTTTGCTATAGGGCGCGTGTGCTCACCAGACAGAGACAGAAAGTGAGAAATCACCCCCCAGGGGGGATGGCCACGCTGCAATCCCTTCTCCTCCATTCTCTTCTTGGGATCTTGGGCACGCACGCACACGCAAACAGCGTGAGTTTAAGCCACCGGGTCCGGGATGCGAACCACGGTTGACTACATGGGAGTCCAGGGACATAGCCAGTATGCCAACTGCTGGTCCCTCTTAAAGGAACTTAGGAAGAAAAGATCACGTATCAAAAACTCTCGGGGTTAAACATTACTTGCAGTGTAAGCAGGGGCTTACCTTCCTAATGGGGGAGACTTACTCACTTCGCTGGTGGGGTGAGTAACTCCTCTTTGGCTAACGTTTGGCGATTTCTGGGAGCAGCTGTCTCTGGACTGCACGTGCAGGCTACCGCGAGCGCTGAGGCAGCTTAGAGACACTGCGCGATGGCGGCGTGGAGCTCGCTTGTCTCAGGGCCACCGAGAAACGAGGAGGCTCCTCGTGGGTAGTGAGAGCAGTGTGGATCAAAGCCAGAAAACGGGAGACCAGTGGACCCCGATGTCGCCCACGGCTGACTGACTGCCTAACACTACCTTCTGCTTTTACTGTGTATGAGTGTCACGGTTTAGAAAAAGATGAATTTGTGAAAGTCAGGAAATACTAGCTGACCCAAAAAAAAAAAAAAAATCCTGGAAGAGTTAATCAGAGTAGAACAAGAGGCTGCAATTACAGAGCCTCTCCCGAGGCTGAATGTGAAGGCGCTGTGCGAGAATCAGGCAAGCACAAGTCGGATTTGCTAGTGAGACTGTAGGAAAGAAACTCATCTCTCTGGGGCCCGGCTCAGCCCAAGGCCGCAGTGGCAGGGGTGCTGCCGAGAAGCGGTACCGCACTCCACGTCCGTTAAACCCCACTGGTAGGACACCGACGTACTGAGAAGAACGGAGGTGAGGAAGGGGCTCAAAATGAGAAGACAAGACATGGCAGCCGCCCTGAAATGTTTAAGGGAAATCGCGGAGAAGGCCACCAGAGCAGAGCTGGAATAGAGAAGCTCCAGGGAGGCCGGCATCCACTGTCAGAGCAGAGCTGGAACAGAGGAGAAGCTCCAGGGAGGCCGGCATCCACTGTCAGAGCAGAGCTGGAATAGAGAAGCTCCAGGGAGGCCGGCATCCACTGTCAGAGCAGAGCTGGAACAGAGGAGAAGCGCCAGGGAGGCCGGCATCCACCGTCACTAGGACGAGAGCGCAGAGGAGCTCGCTTCCCCCACACCCAGGCGGTGCAAAGGCTGGAAGACCCTCCCGGAGAGCTGCAGACTCCTCGGACACCAGGGGGGGCGGGACCGGGTGACCGCCACTGCCTACCTATCCCTGAGTTGTGAAACGTGTGGCCGCGAGTGCCCTGGACCCAACCAGCCAGGCTACGAAAGCTAGAGAAAGAAATTCAGTGAAGATGCAAGTTCTTAAGTGTGGTAAGGAAGACCACCGATCGTCCTGGTGAGCCCTGAACCGTAAGTCAAGTTTATTTCTAAAGAGTTCATTTAAAAAGGCAAATTGGACAGCTACTCCTAGTCACTCACGTGAGGATGCCTTTAGAAGCCCAGGGAACTTCTCTGAGAGACCGTACCATGCTGAGGACCTTCCCATGGCCGTTTAAGAGGGAAGCAGTGACACTGGGGTTCCAGCACCTCTTCCCTCTATCAGCACAAACCTTGATTATGGGACTTCTATTTACCTGAGTCACCCCACCTAAAAAACAAGTATCAGCCACTTGAACTACATGCGCTTTTAGTCTTCTTTCTACAATTTGATTCTTTGAGAAATCAAAATAGGGTTAATGATGTGCAAATGTGGAGGAATCAGAAACCAGGTGACTTGAATTTTTTAAAATGTTTTTGCACTCGCCGTAGGGAGATCATGAGAGGGAGGTGAGAAATCAATCCCCAGGGAGGATGGCCATGCTCAATCCCTTTTCCATCCACCTCCTGGGATTTTGGGCGCACATGCACACATGCATGGAATGAGCTTCGAGTCGCCAGGCCCGGGACTCAAACTGTGGTTAGTCATGTGGGAATCCAGTGCCTTAACCACCACACCACCTGCTGGCCCCAATTTTAAATATTTATAGAAACACGACACTATTACTATTACGGTGACAGATGTTAACAAGTAATTCCTTTGAAATAAATGTTCCTGAACTTTTTGATTAATGTTGGATAAGGAAATCATAAAGGATGACGACAACAAGATTAACAGCTTGTGAAATCATGATAAATGGAGAGTATCCTTACAGTGGAGAAGTTATTCACTACCAGGATGAGCTACGTAGTTGGGCACCATTTCTCAAACTGCTGTGAGAAAGGGAAACTGGCTGACGTTAACAGATAAAACAGCCCGGCGGAGGGGAAGGGGGAGTAAAGTTGGTGAATACTGCTTATTTAACGAAATGTAGGTGGGTCTCTACTTCAGGACCTCTCTGTAACTCCCCGCACACCCACATTCGTGAGACCACGCTACCCTTTCCTGAGTGACTTCTGGTTGGCCCCACTAGGGATTAAGAGAACCCTCTGGGGACAAAATTACGCGTGTAGGACAGAAGTGGTCAATCCGGGCTGTCCCGCGCTCGCCTCTGGCACAGCCCCGGAGAGAGCTGTAGGCTGTGTTGGTGGTTCCGTGTTCACCCAGCCACGGCACTGGCTCGAGACAGGACAGGCGCTTCAAGGCCATCACAGGAGTGAATGGGCGCCACCACACAGGCACTGAAAACTGCCGAAGACTAAAACGCCCTCGAAGTGGTTTAAGACAGAAAAGCTGCGACCAGGTGGCAGAGGCTGATGCCCGCTCCGGCACGAGCAATCTGGTTCGGAGCCCCGAGAACCCGAGGCTGTCTTCCGCGGAGGGGGAAGGCCCGGCAGCTGCCGCTGCCCTGTTACCTCTGTGCCTCTGATCTGGTGATGGATCTCGTGGTGGCTCCCAAGGGCTCTTCCTCTTCCTCCTCTTCCTCCTCCTCGTCAGACTCCTGGTCTTTCTTGTCCTCTGTTGCCTCAGAAACGGATTTCTGGCGTTTTCTTTCTGGCTCTGAGGATTCTGTTCAAACAGAAGGGGAACACCTGGATTATACAATTCCCAAAGACATGTCCAAAGGAGAGCGTGGTGGAGTTTAGAACTTAGGGTAGTAGGGGCTGGGAGGGAGGAGTGGTTTTCCACTTCCGTTTTGTTTCAGCACTTGCAGTGCACAAGTGTTTAACTTAATCACAAACACATTTGGGATCGTTTACTTATACAGTTCACAGCCAGTATTCATGAAAACCTCAAATACACTCAGAGAGCATCTGGGATGTGCCATTTCTGACGTGGGATTACAGCGATTTCACACATATTTACGCAATGTTAATACCAGCTCCATCCCGTTGGATTTTTCCTCACCCAGAGAATTACTCTTTAAAGAACATGAGTGTAATGAAGAAAACTCAGAAACACACCCGCATCTTCTGAGAGGGTAAGTGAACGTTTGGGCTTTCTTCCTCGGCGACGCACACTGGCTACAGCTTTCTCTTCACTATCATCCTAGGCGAAATGAGACGAGAGTGGTGGTCAACTGAACATTTATAAAGTTTATTTCTCAATGACGTATCTTGATAAGAAAATTAACACTTACATTGCTTACACTTCTCTCTTGTAAGTTAGTTGTTTCTTTGTTGGACTCGTCTTTAAGAAAAAAGGAATCTCTGCGTTAACACTTTGTTTCTGTGGAATTAAATTTGAACTGGCATTCTGGCTTATCTGTCAATGTACTCCTGCTAATTAACGCACTGTCATGCAATTCATCGTAATTCTGTGTAAGTCAGGCAAAGACAGAATCAAATTACCCAGCAAATCAGCACGCAAGCGAGGAAACAAATTTTCATTTCAAACTTGCAACAAATAAGCTGTGGGATCTGGGCCTGTTTTTTCATCTGTGTGATAAGGAGCTGGCTTATGCTGTCATCGCACGGCCCCTTTGGGCTCAGCCACTCTGAATTCAGAAAGGGAGGCGGGGGAAGCATGGGGCGCTAAGACACACCAGGAACTTCTCCTCAGGTCGTACCCTTCAGTCTCACGGTGGCTGCGGGAGCATTACAGCCCCAGCTGACGGTCTGGAAAAATCTGACTCCAGCAGCTCAATTTACGTAATCTGTTCAGAGTCACATAACTAAAAAGTAGAGTGGTAACTGGAATCGTTTTTACCACATCAGGGTGAGAAAGTATGTTTAAAGAGCTGTTTTGTAAGTTGTGCGTGCCTAGTCTTCATGCGTTTGCTTTCTGTAGATGCTACAATTTTATGAGAATGCATCTTGGCAAGAGAAAGGAAGATTATTTCATTGTGCTTTTCGTCCATCTCTCCTTCCCATCTGATTTGGGGCACACATGCACATGTGCCTGGCGTGCTTTTCAAACTACTGGGCCAGGATTCAAAGTGTGGTAGGCCATGCGGGATCTAGCTTCCAGGGTACAACACTTGGCTACTGTGCTGCAGCACCAGCCTTGTAAAGAACACTGACATCACAGAACTGATACTTTGTCCTCCCTTGGTGTCCATGAGGGACAGGGTTCAGGGTCCCCCGTGGACATTAAAGCCCATGGATGCTCAAGCCCTTTCTGTGAAATGTGGTATGCCAGGTGGATGCGCATGTAGGGCCAGAGTCCTAAAAGGAGAACGGAGAAGGAGTATGGCGTGGCCATCCCCAGTGGAGGGTGCTTTCTCATTTTTCTTCTCCGTCTATCTGGCAAATGTACATACCCTCTGGCAAATTAAAAAAAAAAAAAAGATGCAGTATTTACATGTATCAATGTATGTTCTCCTGTATATTTTATTATTTTTAAAAATAATTATTGATTTATCATTATTTTAAAAATTTACTATGGGGGGGAGCACACCCTGAAGGGACACAGTGCTGCAGTCTCCTCTCCCCGCTGTCACGATCTGGGTGAGCCATGCACATGTGCCTGGAGTGTCTTCAAGGTGTCGGGCCACCAAGGTCGAAGCTGCAGCTGGCCACGTAAGGTCCGGTTCCCAATGCACAGTGCTTAACCACTGCACTAACCAAAAAAAGGTGTAGTATTTGTACACTGGGCCTGTCCCCAATTTCTGTGTTTGAATATTTTCAACCTGTAGTTGGTTGAGTCTATGGACAGAGAAGACCAACTCTATATGCAGCATAAAGCAATCTGGAAAAGTGACCCAGCTCTGTAGTCTGGTGATTAAGGTAGACAGTTCCCACGAAATCAAACCCATGGTTGAGTCTTGGAATTTGTGGCTTGAAAAATATGCTGGGTGCACGTGTGTATGTGCCTGAAATCCCAAAAGGGTAGAGAAATGAAGAAGGGATTGTGATGTGACCATGACCCCATGGTAGGTGCTTTTTAACTCTCTTTCTCTGATCCTCTCTGACAAGTGCATGTGCCTTTTGGCACATTACAAAAAAAAAAAAAAAAAAAAAAAAAAAAAAAGAACCTGGAATACACACACAGCAGGTACAAATAATATGGAAAGCTCCTAATACTCCACCACCCAGAGCGAACATTATCAACATCTTGGGATTATTTTTTTCTCTTTGGAATGAGGACAAAAGTACTCAAAACAATTCCATCTCTTGAATCCTGGGCTCCTTAAGCTGCAAAGGCTGCTTTTAAAATGATTCCTTTGAGGGACCAGCAGTTAGCATAATGGCTATGTCGCTGGACTCCCATGTGGTC